GGGTCATTTCCGATCGTTCAGTTATATGACAGCTATAGGATATAGTCGGCCGATCCTTATGAAATTTGGCACGTCGTATTGTTTTGCCAAAAATAGCTCTCATGTTAAATTAGAACTTTCTAACTTTAAAAACACCAAAGTTATACCATTTCCGATCAATCAGTTATATGGCAGCTATAGGATATAGTCGGCCGATCCGGGCCGTTCCGACTTATATACTGCGTGCAAAGGAAAGAAGGGTGTGTGCAAAGTTTCAAGACGATAGCATCAAAACTGAGAGACTAGTTCGCGTAGAAACAGACAGACAGACGGACAGACGGACAGACGGGCAGACGGACAGACGGACATGCTCATATCAACTCAGGAGGTGATCCTGATCAAGAATATATATACTTTATAGGGTCGGAGATGTCTCCTTCAGTGCGTTGCACACTTTTGGACAAAATTATAATACCCTCTGCAAGGGTATAAAAAAAAGGGAAAATATTTTTGGGACGCCACGCACTTTTGCAACTCTACGGTTTCAAACGGAACTGCTACTGCCACTTCTTTTAAATATTTTACGCTAGTTGGTTGGGAAATGTGGAAATGTTGCTTTGGGTTGCCGTTTTTGCGGTCCTCGTATTACAGGACAGGACCTGTGAGCAACTTTTTCACTGCTTCCCGCACTTCCTGTTCCTGCTTTTCCTCTGTTTCTGTTTCTGTTCCTGCTTCTGTTATTGCTGTCATTTTCTTTTGGCTCTCTCCTTGAACTCGCTTTGCCTGTCCCCAGCACACACACACACACACACACACACACATTCGACATACACACATTCACACACCCGCATGTCCTGGGGCAAATTTATTGAATTCGCATAGTAGCCAGGAAGGCAACTTAATTTTCAAGTGAAACTTTGTTAAGGTCCGCCATGTGCTCCCCGGCACAACCCGGCACAGAAAACAACCGAAAAAGGCCAACAAAACCCTTCCAGACATTTTCAAGTGCCTTTTTTTTCGGATGGTAGTGGGTGGGCTGGGGGAGTGGGCTGGGGGTGGCGTAACCAACAACAGGAACAACAACAAACAACAAGAACCAAAGTTGGAGGTTTCGGTTGGTGTTTGCATTTTGTTAAGTGTTGAAAATTTATTAGTTTCACCTTAATTTGTTTGCCGACTGCCTTCTATGGTAAGGGAGGGCCGAAGAGTGCAATAAGGGTCTCCGAAACAGTTTTCTTTTTCCCAGGAATATTTATGGTTATTGCTTTCAACGCCGATGTCTAATGTTCGACGATATTGCTTCGTGGCCGAAACCCTAGATGCAATTAAAATTCTTTGGGGCTTTTGCAAGAACGATGGGAAAAATATTGGAACTAAAGAAAAGAAATAATACCTCTAATCAGCTTTAATAATTATTCTTTAATAAAATAAAAAATAAATATTTAAAAAATAAAAAAAAATTACCAACTTTCGTCTCTCCCCGACGGGGAATTGAACCCCGGTCTCCCGCGTGACAGGCGGGGATACTAACCACTATACTATCGAGGACGTTGATTCTGATCGCCCAAAAGCTCTACTTATTGTAGATCAGTGGTCAGTCAAAGGTCAAGAGCTTTATTGAAGCTTTTTCTAGATTTACCTGATTTTTGTCCGATCTGGCAATGCTTTAAGACCTTAAAGAGCTTAACGCAGAGGCGAAGCGCTTTGGCACAGTGGGCATGAACTCGAAAAAATATGTATGTATGTTGGGGCTACAATAAAAGGGCGTGCGAGCAGGAGGGCAAATCAAAGTCAGCAGCCAAAGCAACGCGGCCAAATGGGGAAACATTGTTTTAAAACAATGAAATACAAGCCGGTCATAGAAGCCCGGAGAGGGGCAACTGCGGGGGAGCTACATGGCAGAGACCAACAACATGCAATAAAAGACAAAAGCGGAATATGTGCCACAACGCTGAACAGATGCCAACGGGCAACCACCCGCACCACGCCTGCACCTCCTCCACACCCGATTTAACAGGAGGCGCCCCCCGCTGCAACATGCGAGTCCACTCGAAACTTTTGCGCTATTGTACTGCCAGCACCCCCTGCCAGCCATATATTTTTTCTGCAGCCGCTTCCAGCTGCGGACTTTCTCTAGAATCTTTGGCCAACTAAAGCCAGTAACAAGCAAGCTAAAAAAAAAAGTTTAGCCTGGTACACGACTAGATTCTACCCGCTTTAAAGATTTTTACCTTCTAAAATGTAATATATATAATATTTTTACTAAATAATCAAAAATTAATAACAAATAATATAACAAATAATTTATGTCTCTATCAAATTAACTTTTTTATTAAAAAACTGCCTGAATTAATTATTTTATAAACTCTACTCTTAAATATCTAGATGATTTTTCCACATAATCACTGCAAATAAGCTATCCTACATAGTAGGGTTTTTCATATTTAAATTCCATTTGAATTTATAAAAGCAGGCTCGAGGGTATCCACAGAAAAACTTTATACATTGCATCCCTCATATGTATGGTACTGTACTGTTGGGGAAAAGGAACTAAAATAAAATAAACGTTTGAAAATATAATTGCTGTACTGCTTTGGTAAACTCCATTAAATTTATAAACTGGCCAGCAAAAGTTTCATTCTCCTTCGCCGGGCATCGCATATATTTTTTATCCCGCACTTTGGAGTGTGCATACGAGAGGGCGTATGGCGTAGTATATGGATATGAGCGCTTATTGATTAATAGTTTTATTGTATTCATGCAGAGCTCAACCATTAATTTTGCATGTTAAATAAAAGAGCACTCAATTATGTGGGCTGTGGGCTGTATTCGAGACGGGCTTTTCAAGTATAAAATATTCATGCACTTTATGCTGGGCCTACCATCATCAAACAATGCATGTATAATGCCCGAATTAAAGCCCGTTTCGGTTTCCTGCCACAAATATTGATTTGTTCTGGCCGGATAATTTCAAATTCCTTTGGAGCTACAAAAGGCAATGGATTATGTATATTACAGATTACTCCGATAGGTAGTTAAGCCTATTGGGGGGCACTTCATGCGAGTGAGTAACTAAAACTATTTTTACGACTTTGTTTAATTTATTTATAAACTTTTGTATGAATCACCCATGGAAACTAAATACTACCGCCAGACAGGCTTCCAAAGTGATAACAACTAATGCTGGAGGTCAGTCACTATTCTGATTAAAAGACCCCTGAGCCGGAGCCCCAAAATGTGGCGTCTAAATGACTCAAAGGTCCAAACCCCAAGATTTTAAATATTATAAAGAAATAAGGAAAACCGAATCTCAAGAGATTTTTTGGCAATTGCCGGGAATGGCGATGGGGTGGCGAACTTTTCACCATTTCATTTTCATAATTTCGCCATTTGGCAAGTATCTCACGCATTTGCAATTATGTGAGGATTTTTCATTTCATTTCTTCATTTCGTTTTGGCGGACGGGACTCCTCCATTTCAGACCGCGGCCTGTTACAGATTCTACCATTGTTGGTGTTTGGTGCACATTTATGCGCAACCGCATTTCAAAAGCAATAAATTCTGCAGCTTTGCGCTGAAGTTTTCCCAACAAACCAACCAACAAAAAAATAAAAAATAAAAACATCAAATAGGGACAGGCGGACAACAAAAAATTATTAAGTAAACTGAAAAAGAAAACTTTGTTCATTTGTGGCAGTTGAATATTTTTATATTCACTCTGGCGAGTCTCTGCGTAAATATAAATTAAGAAATAAAAGTGAGACGCTCTAAATGAATAGGGTATTTATATTTTAAGAAATATGTACAACACTTCTCAGTTAGAATTTAATTTTTAGACACCTACTTTCAAAGAACAACACCAACTTATTACAAGTTCTCACAATTGAAAGGGTAAAGAAACTTCGGCTTCCTGGACTCAACCTTTTCTAAGCAAAGTTTTGTGGGCTTTTGGCCGCAGCGAGGCAGCTTGTTATTATTATTTTTTTCCCTTCAATGGCAAAAGTTGTAGCAGGAAACAACAATTTCTGGGCTGCAACAAAACCGCCCCCTGCCAGCTCAACCTTTGGTCCAAGTTCCTTTCAAGTTTTCACCATGAAAATTAATTGCGCATTTATTTTGAGTTAGTTTTCGCGTCCTGGCGGAAACTGTAAAGGAGGAGGATTGGTCTCTGAGTTCCTTGGAACAACTTCAGAGAAGCATTGAGTTTTTGCCATTTGCTTTTCTTTGCAGCTCTCTTACATCTCCTTCGTTACAGTGGCGGTAAAAATTAACTAACCATGGTCGAGTGGCAACCACTTACACCAGGTGACTCCCGGGGCTGGGTCTGGGCTGGGAGGAGTTTAATGGATATGTGTTTTCCACAACGATCAAACGAATAACAAGCTGACATGTTGAGTAACAAGGTAGTTAGGAAATGGAACTGTTATTAAGACACTCTCATATTCATATTCATATTCATAACTAAACCTATATATATTTAATTATTTATTTTTTTTCCACCACAAACTGAAATCAGGGCACAAAGTTCCGGATGACAATGAAAAATATTCCCATTGCGATTAAAGCACCTCAAAATAAACACTCGAACCATCGCCGAATCATATCAGAGAGGTGGGCACTGACTAGCGCCTAGCGTTTAGCTGTCCAGGGCCATTGGCAGCACGCAGCAAAAAAATATAACAATGCCATAAAACAAGATTATCAAGGTGCAGTCGAAAAAGTGCCGAAGTCACCGTCGTCACATTTGAGAACATTAATTACACAACAGGAACACGATGCAGTGGAACAGCCAGCGACCGGAGCAGCGGCCTTAGCCCGGGTACTGGTGGCAAGTCCACTCTTATCTTCACCTGGCTGCAGAAGCGACAGAACGATGACAGCATCCGACGATAAGGCCCTCGGTGCTATTTTCAGCCGGAGACCTATGCGGCGACCTATGCGGCGACGGCATGGTAGCCGTGTTGTCTGACGCTGATATGGTGCAGCGGTTGGGTATATAAGACCCGGCTGGATGCAGTGGAAGGCAACAGACTTTAGGTGTTGGTCCAACAGTGAACCAAAACCGGAGCAGTTGAAGAATCCTAAAGCAGAGAAAAGACAGGACGAAGACAGGATGAAGCTGACCCTAGTGCTATTGGCCCTCGTGGGCTGTGTGGCCGCCTTCAGCGTGCCCACCCCCCAGGTGAAGATCGCCGACAAGACCTTCCTCGAGAAGCAGAAGTTCCTCTTCGAGATCGTCTACCGCGTCGAGGATCCCCTCATGTTCGAGGAGTGGATCAAGTTTGGCTCCAAGTTCATCTACGACAAGAGTTTCTACACGGTGAGTTATCCTGGGGGCCTCTTTAGGTTTTCAGTAATGAAGCATCCTGTTTCTCCAGAATTACGATGTCTACATGGAGAAATTCTACGAGTCCTACAAGCTGGGCGCTCTGCTGCCCAAGGGCGAGTTCTTCGGCGCTCTGGTGAAGACCCACATTAAGCAGGCCTACGGTCTGTTCAACTTCTTCTACTACGCCAAGGACTGGGAGACCTTCGTGAGCAACGTCGCCTGGGCCCGCATCCACGTGAACGAGGGCATGTTCATCTACGCCCTGACCCTGGCCGTCATCCACAAGCCCGAGTTCCAGGGCCTGATCCTGCCCCAGATCTACGAAATCTTCCCCCAGTACTTCTTCAACAGCAAGTTCGTGTACGAGGCCGAGAAGTTCGACTATGAGGTCTTCAGCAAGCTGACCATGTACGAGAAGGAGTACAAGGACATCCTGTACAAGGACTACAGCAAGTTCACCGGCAACTTCTACTTCTACACCAAGGACTGGAAGACCTTCCAGTGGTACAAGATGATGGGTCTGGACCAGGAGTGGTACGTCGAGGACAAGTACTTCCTGCGCGAGAACTTTGCCGAGTTCGCCAACGATCCCAAATACGTCGATGTGATGCAAGGCCTGAAGAAGTTCTACTTCCCCGTTGACTACACCCGTGACATTGACTTCTTCAACGATCAGACCAAACTGAGCTACTTCACCGAGGATCTCGGCTGGAACGCCTACTGGTACTACCTCAACATGGACTACGCCTTCTTCCTTGACGGCAAGAAGTTCGGTTTGGACAAGGACCGCCGCGGCGAGTGGTGGATCTACAACGTCCAGCAGATCCTGGCCCGTTACTACCAGGAGCGTTTGGCCAACGGCTTCGGCGAGATCCCCGAGTTCTTCTGGTACAAACAGATCGAATACGGCTACGATCCTCAGCTGATCTACTACAACGGCGTCGGCTACAGCTACCGCAAGAACTACTACGACTTCTACACCTACGGCAACTTCGAAATGTTCGGCAAGATCCAGAACTTCTTCAGCAAGATCTACAAGGTCCTCGAGACCGGATTCTACAAGACCGCCGACGGTCAGGTGATCGACCTCCACAAACCCGAAGCCGTCAAGTTCATTGGCAACTACCTCCAGGGCAACACCGACACCTACGACAAGTACTTCTTCAACTTCTACTATGTGCTCTCGCACATGTACTTCGCCGATGTGGAATACTACGATGTGGATGTGTTCCCCAACGTGTTCCTCAACTTCGAGACCATGATGCGCGATCCCTTCTTCTACACCTTCTACAAGAAGTTCACCGACGTGTTCTACCAGTTCAAGTACTACCTGGGCCCCTACACCCAGAAGGATCTCTTCTACGAGGGCGTGACCATCAAGGATGTGACCGTCAGCAAGCTGGTGACCTACTACGACATCGTTGACTTTGATGTGACCAACCTGCTCAACGACAAGATGACCTTCGTCGACGGCCAGTTCGTGTGGGACAAGGCTCTCCTGGCCCGTCAGGCCCGCCTCAACCACAAACCCTTCCAGTTCGAGTTCACCATCGAGTCCACCAAGGCCCAAAAGGGTGTTGTCCGCGTCTTCCTGGGCCCCAAGTTCGACGAGTACGGCCAGGTCATCCCCCTGAACTACAACCGCAAGAACTTCGTCCAGATCGACAGCTTCGTCTACCCATTCGTTGCCGGAGTCAACACCTTCAAGCGCAGCTCCAACGAGTTCTCGTGGACCGCCAAGGACAGGATCACCTACACCGAACTGTACAAGTACGTGATGCTGGCCAGCGAGGGCAAGTACGACTTCCCCCTGGACATCAGCGAGCCCCACAACGCCTTCCCCGACCGCCTCGTCCTGCCCAAGGGCTGGGAACAGGGTATGCCCATGCAGTTCTACTACTTCGTCTCGCCCTATGCCGAGGAGTACGAGCAGTTCTCCAACTTCGACTACACCTACGCCTCTGGAGTCGGCTCCGGCACCCGCTATGTCGACAGCAAGCCCTTCGGCTACCCCTTCGACCGCCAGATCGACGAATACGACTTCTTCGTGCCCAACGGCTTCTTCCAGGACGTCAAGATCTACTACGTCGACAGCTTCGCCAAGTACTTCGAGAAGAAGTACCCCAAGTTCGGCACCTTCGACTATTCCATCGAATACTAGAGAGCTCTGTTCCCTTAGTCGTAGCTCTAGCTTTTCTAAGTGCAATGCCAAAGGCAAAAAAATCCAAACCAAAAAAATGTAAAGACGAAATCAAACGAATAAAAACTTCTTAAAAATATTAAAAAGATTTTAGTTTTTCTTTCTTAAATATCTTTATTAAGAGCATGATACAACACATCCCTATGAACGGTAACTATAACCGCAGAAACTAATAACCAAAGCTGCTTAAGGGGCGGTAACTCCACCCCCAAAAACCCCAACCAGCCACCCACATAACAATGGTTGTGTGTTCAGTTACGCTCTCCTGTGATGTAAACAAGAAACGCTTCCCGGACTAGCCAGAGCCCATGCAAATGAACTTAGGCCCATTGACTTTGATGTCGACGGCATGCCAATCGAATCAACGGACAAACACTCAACAGGACATGTTATCCGATCGGTTTCAACAACCAGATTTGCCAGCGCTAATTTCCAGTTATGAATACAATCGCATTTGCATTTGATTGAAGGCTGAAAGGGGCTGTTCCGGTCGTCTGTTGCAAGACAAGACCATAATTGTTTTAATGACAAACAGGTTTCAGGCTGTAGCTTAAAATAGCTTTATTAGATACTGTATTTTAGACAGCATTCAAACGTAAATTGTTTTCTTTTATAATCAAGGCACATTGGCTTACGGCTATCCTCGTATTTTCCGGCCAAGAAGCTGCCAAGTCAACGACGACACTAACCAGAATTAGTTTCCTGGCCATACTCTCTGTCTGCCATTTATTTCAGTCTTTTTAATTGATTCTGTCGTTTCCTGCGCTCAAGGCACCCAGATCTCCCGGCTTGGGTCGGCAGCGACTGCAGGAAGCGCATCTTGTTATTTGTAACAATTAATATCCAATATCAGGGTGCTGCTATCATTAGTTTATTTTCCTTCCTTTTCAATCCATACTATTTTTCTTCTACACAAAAGTATGCTATACATTTTTATATATATCTTGTGTATACATATATTTTTTATCTGTCGTGCCACTTGCATCTACAACAAGAAAGGAAAGCTAACTTCGGGCGGAGCCGAAGTTTATATACCCTTGCAGTTAAAACCGGATATATATCGCAAACATCGGATATAGTTGGCCGATCCTTATGGCAATAGGAATATATAATCCAATTTTTTACAATACAAAATCTAAAAAAAATCCCAAACTTCTATCTTCAAAAATACGAAAGTTGATATTTCTACCAAGTACCATTTCCGATCGTTCAGTTATATGGCAGCTATGGGATATAGTCGGCCGATCCTAATGAAATTTGGTAGGTTGGATCAACTGACCAAGAATTAAATCTGAACTAAGTTCCAGCTTTCTATCTTCAAAAACACGAAAGTTGGGTCATTTCCGATCGTTCAGTTATATGGCAGCTATAGGATATAGTCGGCCGATCCTTATGAAATTTGGCATGACGTAATGTTTTGCCAAAAATAGCTCACATGTCAAATTTGAACTCTCTAACTCTAAAAACACCAAAGTTATACCATTTCCGATCAATCAGTTATATGGCAGCTATAGGATATAGTCGGCCGATCCGGGCCGTTCCGACTTATATACTGCGTGCAAAGGAAAGAAGGGTGTGTGCAAAGTTTCAAGACGATAGCTTTAAAACTGAGAGACTAGTTCGCGTAGAAACAGACAGACGGACAGACAGACGGACAGACGGACAGACGGACAGACGGACAGACGGACATGCTCATATCAACTCAGGAGGTGATCCTGATCAAGAATATATATACTTTATAGGGTCGGAGATGTCTCCTTCACTGCGTTGCACACTTTTGACCAAAATTATAATACCCTCTGCAAGGGTATAAAAAGCCACTGATATCAGTGGTAAAATGTACAACAAAGGCGCAAGCCAGCTTTAGTTAGATTAAGTAGCAAAAAATAAAGTAGCACTGGGAGAAATATTTTTATAAAATTTAAAAAAGGTTATAGGGTAATCAATAGGTTAAAGATTATACAGCATAGTTTAGCTTCTACTAAGTCTACTGTCTTTATTATATTCCTATGGGATATTCTCTTCAATTTCTTTTTGAAAATCCTCAGAACCCTTCCCCAGAAACTACTACCCACTTTCTTTGAGTGCACTGTGCGGTGTGGGTTGCTCTTGGCCGCCTGGTCGGTGCTCCTTGCTGATGGTGCTGCAGTTGACAGACCATTTATCATCGCACTAATTGTGTATCATTAAAAAGGGGCGACCGTGGCCGCGCTCTGCTTCGACATGGGCACTGATGTTAACCCAAAGGAGCCGACGGGGCGCAAAAAAATAAGGAAAAATACAACACGGAATAAAAACAGCTCCATCTGCAGGCTCAAGCCGCAGCCGGCGGAATCGATGTTCCCTGACAATGGCAGCCATGGCGAGCGACTGTGACAGGCCGCTCCAACATCGGCGACATCATCACCAACAACAACTCCAGCAAACAACAGCCATGACAGTGATAGAAATCTGTGGCAAGCAGATTAAACGTGTTCACAGTCGCAGGACGGCAGGAAGCCAAGTGGGGTGAGTTGTTTTTTGTGAAAGTCAGTCATGATTATCGCCACTTTGCCACCCGCCGAAAGGATACCCATACAATGGGTATAAAAATCGATAAAGAACAAAATATACAATATTTAGAATCTCAAAGGGACAAGACATCCCTATTTCTTGACTAGTTCTGGAAGGAAATTTAATCTTAAATTTAAATTCAAGCATACTTGTAATATCCATAAACATTGATAGATATTATCGAAATGAATTAATTCCTCCCTCTCTGGCATTAACCCTTTTCGACCAATAATCCCCACTGTTCCAAAAGGATCACGACAACAATAGAGGAAACTGAGAGTTGGGGGGCGAGATGGGAAGCCAGACTAATGAGAAACGTGCGCCATGAGTTGCGATAAATGGGTAACTCAGCGGAATCGCTGATAGTCCACCATCCATATCGCATGTCCGGACTAAGGACCCTCGGACCTCCGGCTGCCCGGTTCCTCTGTTATCCGGACCTCGGCTATTGAAACGCAGCGCGCAAATACATAATAATCATAAAAATTCAAAGCTCCTTTGCGCCTCCCCCTCGAATGATGGATTACGACGTCAACTCATCCTGGGTGGCACTGAACCCTAACCCGATACCCAGCCCGAGGCCTGATGAAAATGTTAATGTCGCTGCCAATCGCTTTGTTAATCCATCCAGGACGGGCTAGTTGATTTTCCGATTCCTCGGACCATTCTCAGGGTGCGTTGGGAAAACAATTATGACCGGCTTTCTTCCAACCGCCCCATCAGAGCCGGCCAAGGAAATCAGTTCGAAGTCCGGCCAGAAGTTGTCACGTAATACATACTAATTAATATTGATATTTTCTGATAATGAGCTCCCATTTGGCCTCCTGCCATCGGAATTGTAGTTTCGGCCCGGTCAAAGGCATTTCAATGGGCCCGAATGTCGAGTATGCCCCTGGCCAACTCCGCCGTAATTAGACACAAATGCTAATTGAAATTGGGTAGTTGGAAATTCGTTTAAAATTAACATGCTGGGGAATTGGAAAATGGAACAAAAACTATTATTGTAATTGGGATTAATAATCAAGGGAGTTGCAAGAATCTAGGACAATTCAAAATAGGGTTAACTAACTAAATGCTATTATATTTCCAATAGTTCCTTGGTCGGGCTATTATTTGGTCCAGTTTATAGGCTTAATCTAACCTCTCTTGTAATTAGTTATGTTCCTGGTCTGCAGGACTCTCTGGCAGTGTCATTAAAAAGCCCAAACACGTATCTTGTCCGACATTTGATAGAACAGACAACAGACAATACAAAAAAGGAAGAAAAGAGCTCGTAAAGGAGTCCGAGAGTGGGTGGGTCCAGTTAGTATGCCATATGCATTCGTGGTGGGTGGAATCGTAGGGGTAGGTCCTGCAGATCACGCTTAATGGTTATGCCCATGTCTACAGCAGCCTCGTAAAAGTGAGAGGGACAGGACTCTGGCAATAAAAGCAATCCTAAACTGAGTGAAAACACTCGAACTTTAAACCTAAGAAAATGATAAGAAGATGAAACCAATTGGTTAGTATATCTCCATAAACATAAGAGCTATATTAAACTCCCTTCTTGCAAAATACAGCTTAAATATTTTTATTTATTTTCGCTTTTATTAAATTTCTTTCAGTGTACTACCCAACTCTCTACTGAAAACTGATAAGGACCAGTGGAGGGCAACAAAAATATTTAATGAAATCAGCAGTGGCACAACAATGTGGCGATGGAAGCATAACAAAATGCAATTGTTGCATTATTAATTTATATTATGCGCAATTGTTGCAGAGTCCTCTCACCCACAGATACACACATGTGGCAGGGCAACCGCTGTTCATGCGGAAAATCGAGAAAGTCCGAGGGTGGGAAACAGACTCGGCCAGGCCGCAAGATAAGCACCATGTAAAGGTTGCTCAGCGCGCCAGCCATAAAAGAGCCAGGACGAAAAAAAACAAAAACACTCAGAAACAAAGCAAGAAAAAAAAATATACATATACAGGCCAAAGGATAACGACGGCAGCAGGAGGAAGTGGAGGAGCCAACCAATTTGCTGCCGCACTCGCACCGTGCACCGCCTTTGTTTCATTCTCCGGGAAAGGTGAAAGAAAATGTGGTAATAAAAACAACAATTGAACACAGTTATGATTGAAGTGGAAGCCGAGAGACAGCAGCCAGCGGGTGAGACAGTTCAGGGATCTGGGGATAAGCCACCATAACCACCACCACTGACAACCGAACCACCACACAGCTACCACCGCCACCACTGCTACCACAGCCACCATCGTCAAGAGCACCATCAGCACCGCAGGTTCATCCCCAGTCGGCATTGGTTTTGTAATTCGTATCGATCGATTTGATGCTTTGCCACATGCCGCATGACGCACCCACCCACTTTCCTTAATCATACGTGATACACACAATAGAATGTCGGCACCATAAATCGCATATTAATCGAGATTTTTCGATTTTCAATAATATGTATTTTTAAATCTGACAAGTGAGGTTGCGGTCTAACTGGAGCTTAGAGCTCAACACAAACTTTAT